GATAAAAGATCACGGAAACTTGTTCGCCAGCCAGAACCTATACAATGTATGTATATATAAAAAATTCATACGTATTTATAATAGATTGCCTGCTTGGCATGGATATTAGTTTTTGAGAATAAATCATAAGAATATATATAAAATATTCTTAAGAATAAGTGACTGTTAAAAATGCTCCCTTTTCACAACAATTTGAATAATAATAAATAGTATTGCATGCAATATTCGCGACACAAGCAAAATTAATTATTAATTAATTACGCGTATAATGCAATAATTTAGCAGAATTAATTAAATCTGTCAAACACGAAGTCAATTTAGCACTGACAACGGCCATCTTGCATAAGAAAGAGATTTAATTTGCACATATAATTTTTAAAATAAAATAGTAGTAGAAAAGTAGTTCTACAATTATTAACAATGTTTTTAAAATTTACACAAAAATTATATAATTATATACCTATAATTAATTTATAACTATTAATTAGAACTGTCAAACACGAGCTGTTTCATTACCAACGGCCATTTTGAGAAAATAAGTTAATATTTAATAACAAATTTATGGATTAACATAAATATTTAAAAAATAAGGTACTACAATATTCAAATCTAAATATACTAACACATTAAATTCATTATTATTTAATTATTACGCGCATAAAGCAATAATTCAGAATTAATTAGATCTGTCAAACACGAAGTCAAATTAGCACTGACAACGGCCATCTTGTATAAAAAAGAGATTTGTTAATTTAATTTTTATAATAAAATAGTTTGAAAAATATAGTTCTACAATTATTAACATTGTTTTTAAAATTTACGCAGCAATTATATGATTATAAACCAATTAATAAAACTATTAATTAGAATTGTCTAACACAAACTATTTCATATATAAAATCGGTATTGTCAACGGCCATTTTGAGAAAAAAAAGTTTGATATTTAATTTGTTTATATATTTATCGTTAAATATAAATATTTAAAAAATGAAGTACTACAACATTTGAATTTAAATATAATAACACATTAAATTAATTAATAATTAATAATTAATTAGATCTGTCAAACACGAAGTCAATTTCGTACTAACGGCCATCTTGCATAAAAAAGAGATTTAATTTGTTAATTTAATTTTTATAATAAAATATTTTGAGAAAAGTAGTTTTAGAATTATTAACATTGTTTTTGGAATTTGCACAACAGTTATATATAATTATAAACCAATAATTAATTTAAAACTTTTAATTAGATCTATCAAACACGAAGTAATTTTCGCACTAACGGCCATCTTGCATAAAAAAGAGATTTAATTTGTTAATTTAATTTTTATAATAAAATAGTTTGAAAAATGTAATTTTACGATTATTAACATTGTTTTTAAAATTTACACAACAATTATATAATTATAAACGAATTTATAAAACTATTAATTAGAATTGTCTAACACGAACTATTTCATCGGTATTGTCAACGGCCATTTTGAAAAAAAAAGTTTAATATTTAATTTGTTTATATATTTATCGTTAAATATAAATATTTAAAAAATGAAGTACTACAACATTTAAATTTAAATATAATAACACATTGAATTAATTAATAATTAATTAGATCTGTCAAACACGAAGTCAATTTAACACTGACAACGGCCATCTTAAATTATAATTTAAGATGGCCGTTAAAGAACTTTAATTATATAATGTTTATAATAAAATAGTTTAAAAAACGAATTACTACAATGATTAAGATTATTTTTAGAATTTATACAACAATTATATAATTATAAACTAATAATTAATTGAAAACTATTAATTAGAACTATTTCATATATTAAATCGGCACGGCCAATATTTAATTTGTTTATATATTTATCGTTTAATATAAATATTTAAAAAATAAAGTACTATAAGATTTAAATTTAAATATAACAGATTAAATTAATTAATAATTAATAATTAATTAGATCTGTCAAGAACGAAGTCAATTTCGCACTAACGGCCATCTTGCATAAAAAAGAGATTTAATTTGTTTATACAATTTTTATAATAAAATGGTTTAAAAAAATAGTACTACAATGATTAACATTGTTTTTAGAATTAACACAACAATTATATAATTATAAAACAATTAATAAAACTATTAATTAGAATAGTCTAACACGAACTATTTCATATATAAAATCGGTATTGCCAACGGTCATTTTGAGAAAAAAAAAGATTAATATTTAATTTGTTTGTATATTTATCGTTTAATATAAATATTTAAAAAATGAAGTACTACAACATTTAACACTAAATATGATAACACATAAAATAAAAGCGTTTTAAAATTGTAAAAAATCACCTTTAGGTTAATTTTTGACAAAACTATACTGATTTTGAGATAGGGTCCACGTCGTACTTGTTTATCAATGATAGCGTCCAAAGGGAAAATGACGAAGTATGATTGTTTGAACAAGTTCCCATTATTGCTTTCAGTCATTGCCTTAATATTAATATGATTTATGAACCGCATTGCTTTTAAAAAGTTAAAAGTAGGATTTCATGTTGGTTAATTAACAAAATTATGGCTGGTAAAAAAATGGCAGTTTCCCACATACTCTGAAAGCCTCGGTTGCAAGTTGCAACAGTTTCAGGATAATTTTATAAATATTATTTTTATTTTTGCACTCGGATAATTATCAGTAGTTGTTGACTTTCCGGAGCTTTTTACTTGAACCAAAACATGACATTTGTGTTGTGTAATGTATATTACTTATTTTAGCTTATTTTGATAAATTATCTATGATTTCCTAAAATGGACAAAGAAAAAACGTTAGCAAATCATTATTCAAGCTTTATTTTCTACCGGCGATGATGAATGCGCAACAAAAGCACAAAAAGCTCCGGAAAACCAAGGAAAAAAAATAAACCATATGATAAATGAACAAAGTTTAAGGTGAGGTCGTACGAATCGTTTGTTTTATTTCACTTTATATAATAAACTAATAAATTTACACGATAAAAAGATACAGCAATGTGCTCGAACAGAATAAAAATTGAGTCTGTAATAAATTTTATTTCAGAAATTTAATATAATCTGCATTGAAATCGTTTTAATTGCAATTAGATATCTTTAATTAAAATTGCTGTTAATTAAAATGACACTGCCACACTTTAGAACAATTAATGTAGTTGCAGAAGTTTTAATTTAATCAAATCATTTTGTAGGATACAAATGCAAAGCAAAAATCACTAATTGTAGGAGTTAAAAAAATTGTTTACACCTATTTTATAGTTATTTATACATATATTATTGGAAAACTTGTCGATTTTAGTATTTGCTGTTAGATATACTATGTCTAAATCACAAAATTAGAGTAGAAACAGTACGTCCTGCAGAGCTTTTAAAAATGTCATCCGATGGTAAAATATTGTTCACAAAAAACATAATTAGGCTGAAATCTCTCAAAACTCAAAATTTTGTTAACAGACTCATCGATTGCAGTATTTGTTGTAAAATACATATAAAAGTATCTATACCTATATTTAATAGATGTAAATATATCATACCTGTCGATTTTAGTATTTGTTGTTAGATATATTATGTTTGAATTACAAAATTATAGTACAAATGGTACATTCTGCAGAGCTAATAAAAATGTCTTTAAAAATTTCGTTAAAAAACCTATCGATTTTAGTATTTGTTATTAAAATATACACATTTAGGTGTATTATGATTGTAAGTGCAACTTCAAAAGTTGTCTAAACTTCGATTGTTATTGATCAAGTACTACATATTAGGCCAAAACTCCATTCACACTTAGTTTATTTATAGCAACTATCTATATGAACATTTTCTAGTTTTGAAAGTGACATTTACCATTTACAATTTACCATTTACCATTTACCATTTATCATTTATCATATTGATGAGGTAAAACTTTTCGTGTACAGAAACCAGAACAATTTCCTATTACGGTTCAATTTACGCTAATTTCCGAATTCCGGAGGCGACAAACTTTTTGCCCAACTTTTCGTCCCCGTCATTAATTAAAAGTTCACACGTGTTATTTAACAGGGCCCTAGGAGAGAGTTTGGGGCTGCGGGGGGCCATTTGTGCCAATAGAAAACATAATCGGATACGGATCAGTAATTAAGAGATTAATTAATTGGATGGGATCCAATTAAATGGAACATATATATGGAAAAAGTTGATATTTGATATTGATTTGTAACAAATTTGAATGCAATGAAGATTTATTGAAGTGAAACTTCTGAAGTAACATTAGATGCAGAAATCGGTTGTCCGTTCATAGCAATAATTAGTGTTAAAATGTTGTTGTTAGCCCAAAAATGTTAATAATTATCTGTAAATCTTGTAGATTGTCTGAAAATATTGTATGATGTCAGAGAATTTGTTAATTTCCCGAAGGTTAAGTTTTTGTTTTTGCCAGAAAATCCTTTTTGCTTGCCTTATGTTCCAGTCATTCTAACTAAATTTATGTATTCCAACATCATTTCCGAATACAATTTGCATTTATCTATTTACTTGGCTAATCGTCGGGCAAAACTAATCAAAGGCTTATAAATTTTTGAAAACGGTGCAGCTTGTTTGAAAAAAATCAAATCAAACGATTCTGAAACATTTGCAAATCTTTAGCAAGAATTTTCTGGCGAAAACATAAACTTCGGGAAAATAGGATCGAGATTTATTCAATATATAACGCAAAGCACTTTTTAGTGCTTGCATAACGCACTGCTGCAATTTGGGTAAAGTATACTGTTTTAGAATAATTTTGAACCCCCTGTTTATTGATGAAAGCACTGGGACTAAATTGATAATTTGTGTAAAATATTGTTCAATAAATAGAACAATTAAAAACAGGTAAAAGAGGAAATGCAATTGATTTGTTAATATATGCACTTTTTGCATGAATTTTTATGTTTCAAAACAGTTTGAGAATCTGTGCCGCAATGGCCCTTGATCTTGACTTGACAGTTTTCTCTCATCCTTATGTTGGCATCGCTCTTACAAAATAGAATGTGAATTAAAATAAATAAAAAATATATTAATTTTACCTAAAAAATAAACATGTCGCGATACCTAGAAGTTTTAAAAAACGGTACAACATGCTGTCTCGTACACGTCAAGGTCTATAAATCAGTAGTTTCATATATTTCTAAAATTCTAACCTCTCCATTATCCACAGGTTACACATTTTACACCAAAAATCTGTAGACACTTACATTCAGCAAGTATAAAGAGTAATTATCAACAAAGGCATCACAATGGGGGCTCAAAATTGTTCCAAAACAGTATACTTATACCCAGTATTGCAGGAGTGCGTTATGCTAGCACCGATAAAATTGATGTAACAACATCTTTACTAGACAAAATCCCAGAGCCCCCGCCGATACCTACAGCTGAATTTGTAGAAAAGGCTGTAACACTCACCGAGCCAACTTTTGCCAGTATAGGTTTAGGCGGTTGGACTCCAGTGGGCTTAGTACAGAATTGTATGGAATTTTTACATATAGGGCTGGACATGCCGTGGTATGCAGCAATCGCTTTAGGTACTGTCGTTGTGAGGTCTTTATTGTTTCCACTTGTTATATTAGCACAACGTAATGCTGCCAAAATGAACAACTACATGCCTGAACTTCAAGCATTGCAACTTAAAATGACAGAAGCTAGGCAAACCGGCAATGCTTTGGATGCTGCAAGGTACAGCCAAGAAATGATGATGTTTATGCGTGATAAACAATTGAATCCATTAAAAAATATGTTAGTGCCCTTAGCACAAGCCCCGCTGTTCATATCCTTCTTCATGGGCTTAAGAGGCATGGCAAATGCGCCTGTAGAAAGTTTAAAAGATGGGGGTTTGTTTTGGTTTTCAAATCTTACGGTGTCAGATCCATTTTATTTGCTACCTATTATTACAAGTACCACAATGTGGTTGACGATAGAAGTCGGTGCGGATAGTGCCAGGCTGAATGCACAGAATATGCAGATAATGAAATATGTATTGAGAGCTTTGCCTGTGTTTATTCTGCCATTCACAGTTAATTTTCCAGGGGCTATCCTGTGGTACTGGACTTGCAGTAATTTCATATCACTAGCACAGGTAAATTGTTGGTCAATTTATTAAATGTTACAAAAATATTATAATTTTACAAAATTGCAGGTAGCATTTCTGAAGATTCCAAAAGTCCGTGCATATTTCAAAATAGATGCCTTAGTACATCATCCTGCAACATCTTTACCCATGAAGGATAAAGGTTTTGTGAAAGGAATTAAAGAATGTAAGAATAATTTAATTGTACATTTAAATTAAATAAGTGACAAATATATTATTGATTTCAGCCTGGACAAATATGAAAATAACACGAGAGTTAGAAGAAAGGGCAAGGGCTGATGAAATGCGTTTTAGGAGAGCAGGACGGGCAGTTGTTCAAAAAACTTATAAATACGATCCTACGAAACCGAGACCAGCACAAAAACCTTTAGCAAGTAGTACCACTTCGTATAGCACTAAACAATAAATGTATTGCACATGAAATTCATGTGTGGTATTCATGTACATACAAAAAATAATAAAGTTTATACATAATTCAGTTTTAGTATCATTTATTTTGATGATAAAACTCTAATTGTCATTTTATACAGTTAATAAAATAAATAATAAGATCAACTCTCTTACCTTAATAACATCCATTTGGAATCCTCTTCCGTTTCTAAATTTTTAGGACCTTAACTGGGACAATAATATTCACCTAAATTATGGAAAACTGACAGTTTAAATTGACTTCTTTAAATATGGAATACAACTGTGAGGATTTTCTTTATCTCTGAAGAATATATTCGAACTGCAAAAAGCATAGTTAATAATTTTATCCTTTAGTTCTTTATCCACTTGTGGGAATCTTTCTTGCCAATTAATTTCTTTGTATATTTTTGGTAATCACTTTGGTAATATAAGAAATTTAAATAAAAAAAGGACCAATATTCTAGCTGTGACTTCTGTTAACTCAAAGTAGTAAAAATTTGCATGTAATTATCTATTGCCAATTACAACATTGTCCAATTTTTGAAACTTTCTATGATACTTTGGAAAATGGAAATTCAAGATTTTTATCATCTCAACTATATTCTCAGGTCAGAGATTTAAAGGATTCCTTAAAAAGAATCTCAACACTTTAATTTTGAAACACTATATCAATATTATTTAAATAATCTGTCTATTTTTTATCTATTTTTTTAAATTATTGTCACTTGTATAACATACATTTGTTAAGCTTAAGATTGTTTTTGTTTCAAATTTTTACTGTAATAAGTCTAATTCACTCACATATTTACAATAGTTCATAATCCTGAAGTAAATGAACATTCAAATTTAAAATAAAAACATTAAACGCAGTACTTAAACAAAGATTAGATTTAATATTTAGCTGTATAAATATAAAGTCATTCATAATGTCTCCAATTATAGTATCATTTCAACACGCCATTAAGTACTCTAAATCTGCCAAAATATCCTTCTCTGTAACTTTAGGCTTTTCCACATGCCTTTCTCTCAATCTATTAACCAAATCTTCATTAACATTTTCCAAAAATATAAAATCCCTATACAATTGTGGATCAGACTCTTTCAAAAAATCATACTTCCCCACAGTATCAACTTTTACATTCAATTTATACAGCAACTCATAAGTTTCTCCAAAAACTTGTCTTTTCATACCATCGTCAACATCTTCAATAACTTTATTATCGCTGGTCGTATCATCGAAACATATACACTGATCTATGACCCCTGACAAATGCTTATTTTCCATAGCTGCAGCCACTCGTTCCTTATCGGCTAATTGTTTATTAATAGCATGTTCAGAAGCATGGGTCCCAGGTGTGATTTCTACAGTAACTTTGAATCTAGAAGCTAAAGTCCTGATTAATTTTACATGGATGGATAGACCTATTAGAGTAGCCATGCTGCAGTGTGGTATTGTAGGAGTGTAGTTAATTTTAACAATGCTTTTTTCATCATCAACTTGTATGTTTTGTAAAGTGACTACTCCCAGTTCTTCAAGGGTCATAGGATGCTCGGGGTCCCTTATGGTGCAAATCAAATCTAAAAGGTAAATGATACATTAGTTAAAGTAAAAGATATGATATTAAATGTTAGACATATTGTTCTTACCGAAAATCTCTCTAGAATCAACAGGATCATAACCTCTATCACAGTCTTTTGTCAATAAACGTGGCGGTAACTTTTCAAAGACGTGAGGATTTACATTTTCTAAAACATCACGTTCCATGTTATTTAACACACTACTTGTTTAGTAACTAAAATACAAAATATAATTAATAGATAACTTGTAAATGTGGAAAATTATAAAGATATTAAATCACATTATTTTTTGCGCAAAAGTGCAAACTGCAAGCAAACTGTCATAACATGGTTATGACAGAAGTGTCAAAGATGGCGTCAGTAATTTTAAGTTGACAGTTGCACATTTGAATATGTACATATATTAAATTTAATATTTTTATATACTATATCATTATATTTATAACACATATTACATTTAAACTAAAGATATGCAGCATATAAATATAAATCAAACCACTCGTTCCATGAAACTAGATAGATACATCATTTTTATACAAACTATAGAACAAAGTTAACATTGTTGAAAATATGACATCACACAAATTTAATATATCTGTATTTCAGTAATTAGTCACATAAATTATTCGGAAAAAATAAATCTACACTCTTTGCTTAATATAACTTAATTCAACAAATAATAAAAAGCAATGTTATTTTTCATTAATTAATTTATTTTGAAAATTAAATATATTTAAATAACAACCAACTTCACATATAATAACGAAACCTAAAGGTACCTTCACACCGGTTGGCAATATTCAACAACGACCGCTTCAACTTCCTGAAAATAAATTTCAAAATATTAAAAATAATGAAATTTGCTTTTAACATTCACATTTAATTATGACTAGATATGCTATAATATTCTATAATATTTTACAATTGATGCTTGTGCATTTTTTATAGTAATTTCATCGTAATTATACTTTCTTCACTTACATTCATTTTGCAACCAACTTAATTATTATCCAAATTTTTAAATATTAATTATAGTATATATAGATTATATAGATATAATAATGTATTATGATATTGAATTAATATAATATCATTGTAACAATAAGACAATTAACAATGCAATTGTATTGTCCTATATCGATTTTATTGAACATTGATGACGTATTCATATTATTTGAATTCTTTGAATGATTTATTCAATTATACAATTTCAGATTCAAAAATATAAAATCACGTCCTAGTTGTCTCTTTGTGGCGTCATAACCGTAAAAATAACTCGATGCAGTTATGGACAAGGTGCGGTACAAAAATTAAAATAAAAAGAATTGTATACATAATAAAAATAAAAAAAACTAAACATAAAATATATAAACTATAATATATAACTATAGACTTTATTAAAGCTTTTACAAACCCGTTTGGACGATAATGTATTCAAAATTTATTAATAATTTGTTATATCTTCAAAATTAAAAATAATTTTGAAAGTTTTGTTTATTCAAATGTTGCAGTAAATTTAACGTATTTTAATTATATTTTTCTATTTGTAACTCGGTTGCAATGTAAAAAGTTTCCATAAAACTATACACTGTTTATATTTGAAAAAATTACAATAACACCATTTCTGGAATTATAAATAGCTTTTGTTTGGCTTAGAAATATCTTTAAAATTTTGTAAGATTATCTGAATATTGGTTTTCTAGAAAAACTGATTATTTTAGCCAATATGCTATGATTTGTAAAATACATTTTAGGTTTATCTTTTAGGCTTTTTTAGTTATGTATACAAATATAAATAAAGTACATGAAATTATAATACTTTTGACGGTATATATGTACACAATAAATGGAAAAATATATGCATTCATACGCTTTATATACAAGTATAGGATCTAGCTTTTTTTTGAAAAATTCCTTAAAAAATCTACTGAATATTTTGCCAATTTTCTTCTTGTTTGAAAATTCTATTAAAAAACCACTAAATATTTTCACTCTTTTATTTGAAAGTGAAATGTAAAGAGTGCAGAGTACACAGTAGAGTTGCTTAAGTCGTACCCCCTAAAAAAAAAGTTATTTGGCAGACCCTATATTAAAAAAAATCTATTTATAATTTTATGAATACATTCTGATACACAAAACTGTAAACAAAATTGTATAAAGAAATCAAGTATATATAATTTATGTTATTATATATACAATTTTCATCAAAAATAATATTTCCATAATTTTTATTAATCATTCACACATTTTAAATACTTATTAATTTTTAAAAAGTTTTTGTCCAACCCTGAACCCACATGTGAATTTTCTATATCTGCATCCTTGTCTATCCCTATAGCTAGTGTTATTTTTCCTTCTCCTACCTTATCTAGCGCGATAGCTCCGTCCCTTTCGGACGCACAAGTCAGTACAGATTTATATGACAGTGCTCGTGTGACCATCTCGAAGGTAGCACGTGGTTTTTTGTAAAACGATTTATGAATTAGAATTTAAATTGTAAATATAAATAATAATATACGAATAATAAAAATTAAACCAAAATGTGTTGTAATAATTAATTGATACATGTGTAATTAAAAGTTTGGAATTAATACAAGTTTCATAAAGCAGTGTAAAGAAGTGTCAAGTTAAAGTTAAACAAAAGAATATATTTTAAATTGTATATAAATATATGAATAATTATATAAATGATATATAAATGTTGTTATTAGTTAATTATAAATTGATAATAATAATTGGGAAATTTAAATATAAATGAAAATGATACAATGCTAGAAACAATTGTTTTTTGGAAATATGCACAATGTAAGTAAAATTATGTTACTTATTATATATATATATATATATATATTTATATTTGTATATATATATGTGTGTGTGTTATTTAATATATATTGAGTGAGTATTTTATGAAAAAAATAAGTTTACAAGTTTTCCCAGATGTTGTAGAGTATTTTCTTGTTAGGCAATATTGTATATTATTTAATTTTGTATAAATCACCCCAAAAAACTATTTAATTTCCACTAACAGTTTAAAAGTTATCTTAAATCAAACGTTTGCTGAATAAATTCTGTCACAAGTTTTCATTTGCAATGTTAGAGTATACTGAATTGCTCTAGGTTAAAGTGAATAATAAATAGTGTTTATTATTTAATGGCAAACAAATTTCCCAAATACACCATAGAAATTAATCAAATAATTTTTTTTTTTTTTTTTTTTTTTTTTTATTTTCATATTATATAACAATCAGAGTTATTTACATACCCTATGAGTTATATGGCTAAATTAAACATAATAATAATAATAATAATAATCACAAAAATAAATGAAAAAAAAAATAACAATAATAATAATAAATAAATAAATAAAAATAGATAAAAAAATAGAAGAAAAAAAAATAAAGAAAGTAAAAAGAAACAAAAGAAAAAAAAAATTGTAGTAATTGCTCCAATAAGCAATTGACTATGGAAAACAATTTTTTTACATTAGGTCTATAGGCTGTTTCTTGCGTAGTCTTCTTATAGGTGGATTATCGAACAGATGAGCCAAAGTTGCATTAGGATGTTCAAGAATTTTAGCATGATGTCCAGTACTGATATTCTTGATGACATCCACTACGAAAGGGATGTTGAGGTCATCGTGTATGATTTTGTTGCTGACAAACCACGGGGCATCAGTAATCGTCCGTAGTGTTTTAGATTGCAAACGTTGAACAAGTCCCACATTTGATTTGCTACAACATCCCCACAGTTGGATTCCATACGTCCATACAGGTTTGATTATGGTTATAAATTAGAAGCTTATTATCTAATGATAATTTTGATCTACGACCAATAAGCCAATTTAATTTTGAGAGTGTAAGTTTAATTTGTTTTATTTTGGCTACGATGTGCGGCTTCCAGGTTAATCTGCGATCCATGTGAATACCCAAGTACTTGACTGTGTCTTTGGTTGGTATTTGTCTTTCATTTATGTACACAGCTTGACAAGTTGACTTATTAAGTGTGAAGGTAATATGAGTTGACTTCGTATCATTAATTTTGATGCGCCATTTTTTGTCCAGCTTTCTATTTCATTGAGATGATTTTGTAGGATATTGGAAGCAAGAGTAGGATTTTCATTGCTAGCCAAAATCGCAATATCATCAGCAAAAGTAGCAGTGGTAGAGCTCGCCATGGTTGGAAAATCACTAGTATATGTAAGGTACAGAAAAGGGCCCAAAACGCTTCCTTGCGGAACACCTGATTTAATGGGAAAAAGTGATGATGATTCACAATTATTTCTAACTTTATACCATCTGTTAGTTAGGTACGATTCTAAAATTTTGTGAAAGCAAGGCGGCAGCAACCATTTAATTTTTGCTAAAAGTCCTTCATGCCATACTTTATCAAAGGCCTGGCTTACATCGAGAAACACTGCTGAGCAGTATTGTTTGGATTCGAAAGTTTTATGAATTAAATTCACGATTTTGTGGCACTGTTGGATTGTAGAGTGCTGCTTGCGAAATCCAAATTGATGATCAGGTAGTATGTTAGATTCGGTTACTATATCTTCAAGCAGTAGTTTTTCAAAAACCTTCGACAGAATGGGTAGAAGGCTAATTGGTCTGTAGGACGTAACCATACTTGAATCTTTTCCATTTTTGGGTATCATTTTGATAACGGATATTTTAAAAGACTTAGGCCAGTACTCCAATCTCAGCATTGAATTAAATATGTATGTTATGAAGATATACGCTTTAATTGGTAATTCTTTAACATTTTGGATGAAATATTATCAATCCCAGGAGATTTTTACTATCCAGTTTAGTAATTACTGAAACAATCTTCTTCAGAGAGTAAAATCTTTTCTTGAAGTTGACAGAAGTGTGTGGTGTGCGAGGCTGTTGGTGCAAGTTATATGTATTAGATTCAGCTGCATGCGGTTGAAAAACTGAACTAAGATACTCAGCAAAAAGTTCTGCTTTTTCCTTGTCATCTCTAGCCCAGCAACCGGCTGCATCATTTCGTATAGGTGGATTTCTGATGCACGGCTTATTTCTAGACTTAATGGGACGCCAAATAGAATTGTCAAAGCGATTGAGGTTAGACACGTAGTTGGCGAAACTAGAATCATTTAATTCTTTAAGCCTAGTTTTGAGCTTATTGTTCAGATTATTAAAAATATTTCTGTCTTGGGGTGTGTGGCTGTTTTGCCATTTTCGCCTGGCTTTCCTTTTATTGGCTATTAACCTTTAATCTCCAATGATATACCTGAATGAGACGATTTTGCAATATCAGGTGTTGCAAAACTAGATGATTCAAGAATAACTTTATTAAGTATTTCGATTGCAGTTTCAATTTCTGTCTCAGTCTTCAACCTTGTTTGAAGATTTATATTGTTTTCAACTCTAGTACGAAATATTTCCCAGTTTGTCTTGTTGTTGCAAAATCTTGGGTTGCGAGAAAAATTCAAATACGTTGAACTGATACTGGCTATTATTGGCGAATGGTCGGAAGAAAGATCATAACTAGAATATACTTCTGCGTAAGATGGGTTTATAAACATTAGTTATAAAAAAATCCAATAAATCAGGCTGCTTTCTGGGATCGCTGGGCCAATACGTTGGAGAACCAGTGGACAAGCACAAATAATTGTGTTGCTGAATAACATTAAACATTTGTCTTCCTTTGGGATTTATTAGCCTAGATCCCCAATGAGTATGTTTGCTATTAAAATCCCCCCCTACTAAGAATTTGGATCCTAAGGACTCAAAAAATTCATAAAATTGATCACTGGTTATTGAATGACGTGGAGGACAATAGACAGCAGAGATGGTAAGGTCGTATGATAGAAGTTTTACGGTTACTGAAGTTGCTTGTAAAAATTCCTTGGAGTATTTTCTAACTCGTAGTGCACAATGTTTGATTTTATTATAATTGCTGTACCTCCATGTGCAGTACCATCTGGATGTTGAGTATGGTAGAGGTTATAGTGAGGAATATATAGATTTGAATATTGAGTGAAATGGGTTTCACTCACTAAAAGGATATCAATTTTATTTTCTATTAAAAAAAGATTCATCTCGTTCTTATGTTGGGTTAAACCGTTTGAGTTCCATAAGCATATTCTAATGAATTTAGCCATTATTTATATTTATTGATGATGGTCGATAGCATATTTAATACTATCGAGTTTTGTTGCATTAGTTGATTGAACATAGCTTTAAATTCATTTAAAAATTGAACTAAAGTAGATTCTTGAGAAACAGGTGAGTTGTTTAAATTCGATTGTTGACCTTTCATAGCCTGGGCATATGACAAATGATTAGTGGTGGCGATTCTGTAGGTTTTATTGTTAGCAGAATTTTATTTCTATTATTCGATTGGTGATTATTATTTACTGGAGAAGTATTGTTTGCAGAATTTTTGACTTTACTCACTTTTTGATAGTATGGGCATCCTTTATAATTTGCAGGATGTGGGCCAAAGCAGTTGGCACAAACTGCTGCAGTCTCAGCTGGCTTAGTGCATTTAGATGTTATGTGGTTATCTCCGCATTTGACACAGACATAAAGCCGGTTACAATATGCTTTTGTATGCCCGTACAATTGACATCTACTGCATTGTACGATGGTTGACCTTTGGGGTGGCTCAAAATGTATATTTGATTTAATATTTTTGTTAAATTAAAAATTGTGGAGTTATAAGTGTTTGGTTCCAAGTCGATATAAAACATATGAGCGGAGTTTTTGTTCTGAAATGCAAAACATTAGTAATATTACGTACTTTATGTCCTTGCTTTTCAATTTCACGTTTAATGTCTTCTTTGTCGGTAGAGAAATGTATGTACTTCAATACTACTCTGTATGATCTTTCAGATTTAATCTGATAAGTATGAAACACAATCTTTCTGTTCCGCAAAAAAGCTACGAATGTTCTAAAGTCTTCCGCCGAAGACACTTAATTTTAATTATGTTATTAGCCAGAATTTTGTTGAGTATTTATTTTTATCAATAACGTTGTTAAAAACATCAACCATTTCTCTAAAATTATTCACTCCATAAATAAATACGGGCGGTGGTAGCAATGCTTTATTAATAATGGAAGGCTGAGAGCTGGAGTTAGAGGATTCATTTTGTAGTGCGCTGAATCTATTGTTTATTTTAATGAATTCTCACTTACATTTATCGCACGTTTTCGTTTTACACCTGTCACAACTTGCCAGGGATTTAAATTTGAATCCGAATCCATTGAAGAATCCATCGAAGAGGTCGAAGGTGCTGACTGAATATTATTTGTTTGGGATATCTGTGGTTGGTTTGGTAACTGAAGCGCTGCGTATTCCGCATTTGTCATCGAAGGTGCTGACTGAATATTATTTGTTTGGGATATCTGTGGTTGATTTTGTAATTGAAGCACTGCGTATTCCGCATTTGTCATCGAAGGTGCTGACTGCATATTATTATTTGGGATATCTGTGGTTGATTTGTAATTGAAGCGCTGCGTATTCCGCATTTGTCATCGAAGGTG